CAGGATAAAGAAACTATGGTACATATACATAATGAATATCGTCTAGTTCTTATTGTCTAGTTCTCACTCTCGGAGAACCCGGCAGGCTATCAAGAATATCCTGCCCGCATGGCAGAGTGTGGCAAGCTCCCCAAGGTGTATTTGATATGCCAAAACCGAGTAACAATAATGGGTCTCATTCCCATGACCCTGAAAGAGCCTCCACTGTGGCACTTGCTAAAATCTCAGGGCTAGGATGAATGGAGATGTTACTGGTGCATGCTCGAGGAAATCTGTGAACAATGGAATGACAGTGATACAGTGAAACATAATGAAATATTACTCAGCTACAAGAAAAGGTAAAGTTACAAAATTTTCTGCTACATGGAGGGACCTAGAGACTATCATGCAGAGTAAAGTTAGTCAGAGGGAGAAACACTCAGTGATCTTTCTCACATGCAGGATATAAAAAAAATATAGTGGTGGAATAATGAATAGACAAAGACAATGGAAACATGAGAATTGGTATTTAGTAGAAAACATGCTACTAGAAGGAGGCAGGGAGATAGGAAAGGAAGCGGGGTAACACCTATGGTAGAGGGAAGCACTCAATTGGGAGGAGGTGATGCTGAGAGATGGCTCTATCAGTAACAATATGTGTGTTTACACATAAACATACACAAACACACACACACAAACACACACACACAGCATTAAGGCCTCTCATCAAAGCAGACTTGGTGGGGGGAGGCCAGTGAAGTTGGTGGAGGAACGCATAACTTTGTAATCTCACGGTGACTAAATTTAAATTTTTTTAAAAACAATGCCTGCTGGGATCTCTAGCAGACTACCAAGGAGTCAGGGGGAGAAGCAGACTCTATGCAGACTCCGGCCCAGGCTGTTTTCACTTGGCCCCAGAGTGGGGCGGGTGAGAGCCCTCCATGCCCCAAGGGACCCAGCCCTGGCAGCTAACCTCCACTACCCAAACACCACACTCCACCACACTCCAGGCCACTTTCTGGACTGCGTGGCTGCTTTGTGGCTGCATGACACACTAGACACTTCATACCCATTTTCCCTAATTACCACACCATATTTGATGGGGTTCAGACAGTAGGCAACAAAACCATACAGAGAAATATATATATATTTATAAATATATATATGTATATATATACCTCTTGGAGAGCCTGGCAAGCTACCAAGAGTATCCTGCCCACACAGGCAGAACCTGGCAAGCTCCCCGTGGCGTATTCAATATGCCAAAAACAGTAACAATAACAGGTATCATTCCCCTGACCCTGAAAGAGCCTCCAATCATTGGGAAATATGAGTAAGGAGAGGCTGCTAAAATCTCAGGCTGGGAGGAATAGAGACCTTACTGTCACCCGCTCGAGTAAATCAATGACAGTGATACAGTGATACAGTGAGTTAAAAAATGATTTGGAACTCTCCAAATGACTTCAACAATAGAATTAAAAAATACACTGTGGTAAATTTACGTGATGAAATGCTTTCTATCATACTATGAATAAATATCATATTGCATAATCCCCTTTAAAAATTGGGCATGTCATGGTAAGCACACTAAGTCAGAGAGGACAAATACTAGACTGTATCACTCATCTGTGTTATATAAAGGGACTAAACAAGAGAATGGGGACTATTAAACAATGACAAAGTCTTGGGCTTAGATTACAGAATTGATCACCAGGAACTGGGGGACCAATGAAGGAGAATGATGTCTAGACCAGAGGTGACATAAGGACAGTGGTGGACGGTCATGGGCACTTGGACGTTGGGGTGATGCAATGACTCCGTACATCAGTACCATACATTGTGCAACAATATTGCCATATTACCTAAATTATGATTTTAAAAATTACACATCATCTACAACCTTACATGTTAAAGTTGTATTAGCCTCAAGAACGTGAATGGAGCAAAACTTTGGTGGGTGGGCTGGGATAAGTTTATTTTTTAAAATAGTATATTGAAATATTCTATCAAATTGTTCACTGGATACACTTTCACAAAAACCCTTAATAATATCTATCCAAAAAAGCAACTATAGTAGGTCAACATCCCACAGGCACCACATTGACTCATCCACCTGTCCTGCTTTTCAGATTCATGAACTAAATCTCTGAAAAGATGCAAGCAGAGCAGCTGAAATTCATGGGCACACCAGTCCCCCTGGCTGAGAACCTGAGGATGCCCTTGGGGTGGGAGGGACCAAATCCCTGCTCTGCAAATGCCCCAACAGCTGCATCCACACCCCACTGCTGCCATCATGCCTTGTGGCCTCACTCCACATCTACACTAAGAATGTCTGAAGATTTATCCCAGTACTACAGACCTTGAAGTTTCTGGACACCTCTAAATGTTACAGTACTGAAATTTCAGTAGGAGCCACCAAATTAGATGAAAAAGTAACATAGAAGCCAACTAAACTCAATAAACTAAAAGCAATAACACACAAGGCTCAACTGACAGCTTAGTAAATCCTCAAAGACTTAACAACCCTGTGGTGAGATATAACAATTTTCACAAATCTTCTTTTACTGAAGTATCTTTGATAATTCCTTCTGCCATTTGGTAGTAACAAGCAGTATAAAATATATTATTGTGTACCTGCCAAGGGAGCAGCTTTGGCTTGTATTGGAAAAATGAAGACCATGGTGGAGGGAAGCTCACTCAGGTGGGGGATTGGTGCTGTAACCTTAAAAGTCCATAACAGCTGTATCACAGACAACTATGTACACTATCGTGCTTAAATGAAGTGAAAAAAAGAAAAAGAGCAACCAACAGGCTAAAGAGATAGTACAAGGTTGAAAGTGATTATCTTGGCCATAGCCATGTCCCTGGACCCCACGCCAGGCTGTTTCACTCGAGGTGCGCCAGAGGGGGTGGTTGAGAGCCCTCCGCACTCCAAGGGACCCAGCCCGAGCAGCCGAAAACCTCCACAGTTCAACTGCCGCCATGCTCAAGTCTGCTCCCCACACACTCGGACCAAGCCTCATGCACAAGTGAAGTCCCACTAAACCCAGGTTATGCAGAACTTTGTGACCTTAGACTTGGCTCAATGGGACTGGGAATGGAGATCCTCTCCCCGTTCTCCCAGTCTCTAGTGATGTTGGGGTCAGGCCCATAAGCCACCTCCTGCCAAATGCCAGATAATCTCCTCATTGGCCACCATCCAGATCACATGCTTTTTCTCCCAGAAAGGAGCAACATGACGCTCTCCATAGCCATGCCACTAGACTCCATGCCAGGCTGTTTCACACAGGGCAACACAGAGGGGGATGGGTGAGAGCCCTCCCCGCTCCAAGGGACCCAGCTCTGGCAGCCAAAAACCTCCAGAACCCAACCTCCACCACACTCAAGGCTGCTCCCCACACTCTCAGGCTGAGCCTCCTGCAGGACTGAATGTATTCCTGGACTGTGCGACCCCATTTGAGGCCATGTGACACATCATAAGACACTCCCTACCCATTCTTCAAGAGTACCACACCACAGTTAATGAGTTCAAATAGTAGGCAACCAATCATAGAGGGAAATATATATATGCATATATTGTTTTCTGATATATATACGAAAGTACATATCACCCAGCCTTAAACAACATGTTAGTAATATCCTAAAGTGATTGTATTGTATGAGATTGACTCTAGTTGTAACCCTGAAGACTGACAAGAGTGATTCCACAGAACAGAGCAGAGGTAAGCCCTGGGCATGTTGTGTGTGTCCTACAAAAGCAAAACAATAACAACAAATAAAATTAAAATAAACTAAGCTTGCAATTTTCTGTGGTCTGGTAACTGGCATGTCCCATAAAAAAAAAAACCTGTGTTCATAGAAGTGCTACAAATTTGCCCTTTGCCATGAAAAAAGTATAATGTAGTTACTCTACCAGAAGCAGGACATAACATTTGTCATATAGGATCTTTCTCCATCTATCTCTGTCTATCACTTCTCGAGGGTGCAGCAGTTCCACAAGGATGGCTGGACAGACTCATAATCTATTAGGAGGGAAATGGGCCGCACTTCCCCAGGCTGATATTTAGCGATTCTTTATGGGCACCAGGAGTACACAGATTTCTCAGCTTCTACTATTATTTTTTTTAAATTTTTGTTGAAACACTGAGAGACACATAGGTGTTCATGATTGGTTTGCAGTCATACTATGTCCAACGTCCAACATCCTTCACCAGTGTACATTTCCCACCACAATGTCCCCAGTCCCTCCCACCCCACCCCCACCGTCTCCATAGCAGACATTCTCCTCCTCTTCTTCCTCCTCCTCCTCCTCCTCCTCTTCCCCTCTCTTCCTCTTTCTCCTCCTCCTCCTCCTCCTCCCCTCTTTTCCTCCTCCTCCTCCTCCTCCTCCTCCTCCCTTTGTCTCTTTCTCTCTCTCACGATTATGGTTTGCACTACAGGTACTGAGAGGTTATCATGTTTGTCCCTTTACCTACTTTCAGAACTCAGTTCTTGTCCAGAGTGATCACTTCTATCATTGTCATAGTAGTATCTTCTCTCCTAATTGCCCTCTCACTTCTCCACCACTTGTGGCAAGGTTCCAAACATGGGCCTTTCCTCCCGGTCCTGTTTCTACAGTGCCTGGGAATTAGTTTCATACTGTGTTTTTTTTTTCTCACTATCCTACAAATGAGTCCTCAGCTCCTATTAATTCCTAATCTGTCAACCTGTCACATTTTCCCATCCAAGAACTGGGATCTATCTCACTTAGTCTGAGTCAAATTCAAATTTTTCATCACTGTGATAAATACTGAGCATAATCTGATCAACCCCTTGGGGCCACTTATGAAGAGAACCACATCACCTCCTTAAACATCAATTTTATCATTTTTCTTATCTTCTATCATCTACCCAACTTTGTGGTTCCTCATGACACAATACCCACTGAGGTCTAAGAAAACTTTAGGATTGAAGTTTTCTAGGACATAGAGCTCCTATACTATGAGGGAAAGAAAGCCAGTCTGGTCAGTCTAGGTACTTACAGTATCTTTGCAAGCATTAGTGTAGTGGTTTACATCGTCCAGTATGCTTTTGCTCAGCATGAGGGTGCTGACAAGATTTTCAATTCCAGGAACATCAGATTTAGTGGCAAATCTTATATTAATGGATCTGGGTAAGGAGAGAGACATTTTTAGGCTAAAATATTATAATATGTAAACCCCCTCCTAAAAGACACTGAATCATAATATGATTATTATGTTAAATAATACCCTGTAATTTGTAAAACGATCAGGCTTAATTAATACAAAAGTTCACCTGTTTCTACAATAGTTGTAAAGACCCAAAAGAAAAGAATGAGATAAAAATCAGATAATGGCATTAATCAAATAACACAAAGGTACATGTTGCATGAATTTAATTTAAAAATTTCAGCACCATGCTTTATTTTGCATTACTTCAAACATAAAACCAAATAATTTCTCAAATCCTTATTTTTATTGTTGGGGGTGGGTGGGTTTCACAAGCAATTCGCAGGAGGCCAGCAGCTTCACCTGTGACTTACAGCCAATAAAAGAATCAAGGATGTGATTCTGTATAATAATTCTTATTTGTTATATATAATAATGATTCTGGGGCTGGAGCAATAGCACAGTGGGTAGGGCGTTTGTCTTGTACACGGCCGACCCGGGTTCGATTCCCAGCATCCCATATGGTCCTCTGAGCACCGCCGGGGTAATTCCTGAGTGCAGAACCAGGAGTAACCCCTGTGCATCGCTGGGTATGACCCAAAAAGCCAAAAAAAATGATTCTGATTCTTCTCTCAGAATTATTATTATATATAATAAATAAAAATTATTATATAATGATAAGGATTTTAATTTATGTTAAGAAGTCAAAGAATTATACTGACCCCAGGAAACTGAGGAATACCAGGTGTCAAAGGCCCTGTATTTTATTCAGGATCGCCATTTTGCCGTCAAGGTCAGGACTGTCCCCCACCCGTGAAGAGTGCAGCCACTCTATGGCCCCCCATTTCTTCACTTCTCTATAACTCATCAGAAACACACAAAGATATCCTAACTGCAGGAACCTAACCACAAAATTACGCACAAGAAACAATTCAAACTGCAAAGATCCCAGTAGTAAAGCAACACAGAAACCTATCAGGTTTGGTGTGTGAACATGCTAGTCAGAAGACTCAACGAGTATTAAGGAGCTTTATAACCTCTCTAGTAAGGAATTAAAGAATTAAGAAAGAAATTGTTGAGGATGCATAAGGAGCTCAAAGAAACACTGGAATGCATAGCCACTAAAATAGAGGAGGATATGAGAGCAGAAATGAGGAAGATGAAAACAAAAATACAAGCAGAAATGATAGATCTGAAAAACCTGGTAGGTGAAATGAAAAGTTCAATGGAAGGTCTCAGAAGCAGAGTAACAGCTGCCAAGGACAGAATCGGTGAGCTCTAAGATGAGGTGCAGAGAATCTCTGAACTTCAGCAAAAGATGGAAAAGAGTCTCAAAATATACCAACACATGACAAGAGAAAATGAGGATGAAACCAAGAGGAACAACATAAGAATAACTGGAGTACCAGAGGGGCAGGAAGAAAACCCCGATGTAGAAGCAACCATCAAAACTTTCATTGCTGAGAAGTTCCTGGAACTGAAGAGTGCATGCACCCAAATCCAGGAGGCCCAAGGGTACCAACTGAAAGAAATTTAAATAAAAATACTCCGATACATCCTAAACAGAATGACAAAAATCACAGATAGAGATAGAATACTGAAAGCTGGAAGATCAAAGAAGGAACTTGCTTATAAAGGAGCACCCCTAAGATTCACCAGCGGACTTATAAGATGAAACCCTCCAGGACTAAAGACAGTGTGCTATATAATGAACAAACTCAATGAAATGAACACTTCACCAAGAATACTTTACCCAGCCAGACACTCGTTCATATTTGAAGGGACACGACACAACTTTACAGACAAAGAACAACTCAGGAACTTCACAGATACAAAACCATTGTTACAAAAACTAAGTGGATTACTTTTAGACAAGACAAGCCCCACAGGTACACTGAACTTCCACAAAAAGATGGCACAAATCCACATCACAATAATCTCTCTCAATGTCAGTGGACTAATTGCACCAATCAAGAGGCACCGAATGGCAGGATGGATTAGAAAATTGAACCCAACATTCTGCTGCCTGCAAGAAACACATGTGAACAATCAAAGCAAACACAGACTTAAAGTCAAAGGCTAGAAAACAATTCTCCTAGCAAATAACCCCCTTTAAAAACACGGGGGTGGCCATACTAGTATCAGACCACATAAACTTCAGGCTGCAGAAGGTCATGAGACAGTGAAGGTAATTTCTTAATGAACAAAAAATGGGTACATCAGGAAGAACTCACACACCTAAATGTATATGCACCTAATGAGGGACCAGCAAAATACTTAGAACAACTGCTAATAGACTTGAATAAAGACAGTGATAGGAACACAGTAGTAGTTGGAGATTTCAGTACCACTCTGTCACCTCTAGATAGATGAACTAGACTAAAGTTCAGCAAAAAAAAAAAAACCCATTTGGTTAAAGGGAAAAAATGGAAGAGAGGAAGTTAGTATATACATATATGTATATATACATATATACATGTATGTATATATACATTTTTCTAGTGCTTGTTGGACATTCTCCAAGATAGAACATATGCTGGGTCACAAAACACACCTCAATAAAATTCTCACTGTCACTATCCTCCCGTTGTTCATCGATTTGCTCAAGTGGGCCCAGTAAAGTTTCCATTGGAGACTTTGTTGTTACTGTGTTTGGCATATCGAATACGTCACAGGGAGCTTGCCAGGCTTTGCCATGTGGGCGAGATACTTGAGATACTCTCGGTAGCTTGCTGGGCTTTCCGAGAGGGGCGGAGAGGAATCGAACTTGGGTCAGCCATGTTGACTGCATGCAAATGCCCTACCCTCTGTGTTATCGCTCCAGCCCTCAATAGAATTAAAAAATAGAAATTATATCAACTATCTTTTCAGATTATGTTGCACTGAAAATAGAAACTAATCACACATGACAACGAATAATCAAGTGAAACACCTGGAAGTTAAACAGCTCACTAAACAATTAGTGGGTTAGAGAAGAAATCAAAGTTTCCTGGAAACAAATGAGAATGAGGACACGAGTTAACAGAACTTGTGAGACACAGCAAAAGCAGTGTTAAGAGGAAAGTTTATAGTTCTGCAAGCATTAATCAGGAAGGAAGAAAGGGCCCACATAAATAACTTAACCTCACAGCTTAAGCTCTTTGGAAATGAAGAACAAAAAGCTCAAACCAGGCAGAAGGAAGGAAATAATAAAACGTAGAGCAGAAATCAATGAGCTGGAATCCCCCAACCCCCCAAAAAATCCAGTCCAAAATAACTAAACCAAGAGCTGTTCTTTGAGAAAATAAACCAGATCAATAAACCATTAGTGAGACTCACAAAGAAATAGAGGGAAAGAAGCCTAATTAACTGAATCAGAAATAAGAAGGGGGATATAACAACAGAACAGAGAATCATTAGAGACTACTTTGTAAATCTTTATGGCACAAAACAAGAGAATCTTAAAGAAATTTTTTAAAAAATTCTGGATTCCTATAACCTCCCAAGGCTGAACCAAGAAGATCTGGATCACGTGAACAGACCTATCACCATCAAGGAAATTGAAATGGTAATCAAAAGACTCCTCCAAAACAAAAGCTCTGGCCCAGATGGATTCATTAGTGAATTCTTTCAAACTTTAAATGAGGACCTATTACCAGTCCTTTCCAAGATTTTCCTGGAAATTGAAGAAACAGAAACATTCCCAAATAGTTTCTCTGAGGCAAATATCACCTTGATAGTCAAAGCAGAGAGAGACCCCCCCACACACACACATAAAATTATAAACCAATATCCCTGATGAACACAGATGCAAGATTCTCAACAAAACACTAGCAAATAGAATCCAAGCCTTATCAAAAAGTTCACACACCATGACCAAGTAGGATTCACCCGGGGGGTGCAAAGTTTATTTAACTTTCACAAATCAATCAACATAATACACCACTGGAGGATAACATTGGTTTGTCCTTTCTCCTCCACCCTTTCTCCCTTACTCCAGGGAATGTAGGTTTATTGGTTTACACCCATCACAGTGCTCCTGAGACACTCCCATTCTTCTGTATTTATTCATAACTTCTTTGTGCTCTGCTTCCCCTATCTGCTAATCACCTATATCCCCAAATCAGACCCTGTGACTGTTAGAGTCATATTCTTCTTGAATTTTGTATTTGTAAGAAGAAATACTGCTTTTCTCTTTCCTTTATGTCCTTTACATAGTTTACTTTAGAACAATGTCCTTTTTTTATAGACACGGGAAGACAGTTAATGCTATGCTTTGTAACCTGGGAGTTAATTGACTCCGAATAATATTTACTCCTAGTTATTTGTCAAATTTACTCGACTTAAGCCTCTGTTGTCCTTAGTTCCTAGCACTCCAAAAGCAGGGGCCCAAAGAAGTGATTGGATGGATCCAGGGAAAACTGTGAGCTACCCTAACATCAAAATGGGACAGACCAAGCACAATATAACATAATAAACTAAGAGCATGATTGTGGACAAATTCTGTCATGATCCAAAGAGAAGTGACTGGACAAGGACCTTGGTTGGCCAGATTAGTCCTGAGCACTGTAGTCTGGGATATATAGTGAGATGTCCCCAGGAGAGTCATCCTATACACTTAATATATCTCTTACTGTGTCAGTACAAAATGATTAGAAAGATTAAGAAGTAAATGTATGATGATCGTTTAAATTAATATGGACCAAGAAAAGGAGAAATATGCCCTTAAATGAAATTCCGCCCTTGAGCAGATCTCCCAGCAGAATGAGATCTTTGTCTTAGAAGAGTTTCCTGAAAGAAGGGCTATACATATGTTGATTGTGATCTGACCTAGGTGTATCTGATACCCTGAACTCCCTTGAGGGGATGACTAAGGCTGGGTGCAAGGTGAGATGAGCATGAGGGAACAGGAGGTAGGAATGAGGGGCAGGGGAAAACTGGTATGGGCATGAGACTGGAATAGGCATGCAGGGAGAATGGAATAATGGCAGGACCGAGACTGGAATAAACAGTGACTGATCACCAACCAGCTTAGCAGCCCTGCTCCCTCCTTCATGCATCCCTTGGCAGTGGCTGGCTGGGGTGTGGAGGTGGCTCACGGCTACTGAATGTACATGAAGGGCCCACACACATTTATTGAATACAAACAAACCATATCATAAAAGAAAGGATAAAAATCATATGGTCATATGTATAAATGCAGGAAAAGCATTTGGCAAGATCTAGCACCTGTTCATGATAAAAACTCTCAAGAAAATGGGAGTTGAAGAAACTTTTCTCAATGTAGTCAAAGCCATCTAGCACAGACTCATATCAAGCATTTTCCTCAAGGGGGAAAATCTAAAAGACTTCCCTCTAAGATCAGGCACTCTTGCCACTTCTATTCAAAATAGCATTGGAAGTACCTGTCATAGCAGTTAGGCAAGAAAAAGACACCAAAAGCATCCAGATAGGAAAGGAAGAAATCAAGCTCTCACTACTTGCAGATGACATGTAATATATTTAGAGAATCCTAAAGACTCCACAAACTATTGCTCCTAGAAACAATAGATTTGTATCTTAGAGTGGCAGGTTACAAAATCAATACCCAGAAGTCCATGACTTTTCTATATACAAACAATGAAAGAGAAGAGAGAGATATTAGAAAAACAATACCATTCACATCATGCCTTAGAAAACCAAGTACCTTGGAATCAGTTTAACTAAAAAGGTGAAGAACCTATACAAAGAAAACTATAAAACACTACTCCAAGAAATAAAAGAGGATATGAGAAAATGGAAACACATCCCTTGCTCATGAATTGGGAGAATTAGTATTATCAAAGGAGCAATACTCCCTAATGCATTATAAAAATTCAATGCAGTCCCTATAAGGATACCCATGACATTTTTTCAAAGAAATAGATCAAACACTCCTGAAATTTATATGGAACAATAAACCCCCACGAATAGCTAAAGCAATCCTTCGGGAAAAGAAGATGGGAGGCATCACCTTCCCAACTTCAAACTATAGTACAAAGCGGTAGTAATTAAAACAGCCTGTTATTGGAATAAAGACAGACCTGCAGATCAGTGGAACACAGTTCAATATCCTGAAAACAACCCTCAAATATATGGCCACCTAATCTTTGATAAATGGGCAATAACTATGAAGTGGAGCAAGGAAAGCCTTTGCAACAAGTGCTTCTGGGAAACTGGGCCACTACATGCAAAAAATAAAATAAAAAAAGAACTCAGACCTCTTTCTAATGACAGGCACAAAAGTCAGATCAAAAGGGATTAAAGACCTCAATATCAGAGGCAAATGTTGGCAGAACCCTCAGTAACACTGAAGCTAAAGGCATCTTCAAAAATGAAACACCACTGAGCAAACAAGTGGAAACAAAGATAAAGAAATGGAACACATTAAACTAAGAAGTTTCTGCACCTCAAAAGAAACAGTGACCAAAATACAAAGCCAACTAACAGAATGGGAAAAAATATTTACTCAATATGCATCACATAAAGGGTTAATAGTCAGGATATATACGGCACTTGGAAAACTTTACAAGAAAAAACCTCCAACCTCATCAGAAAATGGGCAAGCACTATATACACCCCTATGTTCATTGCAGCACTATTCACAATAGCCAGAATCTGGAAACAGTCTGAGTGACTGAAAACAGACTGATGGAAAAAGAAACTATGGCACATCTACACAATGCAATACTACTCAGCTGTTAGAAAAAATGAAGTAATAAAATTTGACTATAAATCTATAAATAGATGGACTTAGAGAGTATGGAGACACATGCTGAGTGAAATGTGTCAGAAAGAAAGAAACAGATATAGAATAACTGTATTCCATTCATCTGTGGTATGATACATATATATGTAAATATGTATATATATATATATATATATATATATATATATATATTAGAAGACATATCCACTGTCAGGGAAAACAGTCTAGGAAGGTATTGAGTGTTTAAAAGTAGGTAAAGGGATATGCCAGATAACCTTTCAGCATCTGTACTGCAAACCACAATGCCCAAAAGGAAGAGAGAGAGAGAGAGAGAGAGAGAGAGAGAGAGAGAGAGAGAGAGAGAGAGAGAAGAAAATGCTGCCATAGAGGCAGTAGGGCAGAGGTGATAGTAGGGAAACTGGAGACACCACTGGTGCCGGGAAATGTTCACTGGTGGAAGGATGGGTGTTGGAACACTATATGACTAAAACCAAAATATGAACAGCTTTGTAAAGATCTATCTCACAGTGATTCAATAATAAAATCTTTAAAAAAGAATTATAATTCAGATAGGAAAGGAAGAAATCAAGCTCTCACTATTCGCAGATGATATGATAATATACTAAAACCTCTACCAAGAAACTCCTAGAAACAATAAACTTGTATAGTAAAGTTGCAGGCTATAAAATCAATACCCAAAAGTCCATGGCTTTCCTATACGCAAATAATGAGAGAGAAGAAAGAGATATGAAAAAAGCAATCCTGTTCACAATTGTGCCTCAGAAAACCAAGTATCTAGGAATCATCTTAACTAAGGATATAAAAAACCTGTACAAAGAAAACTAAAAATGCTACTTCGGAAAACAAAAGAGGACACGAGGAAATGGAAAGATATCCCCTGCTCATGGATCAGGAGAATTAACATTGTCAAAATGGCAATACTCCTTAAAACTTTGTACAAATTTAATACAATCCTTATATGAATACCCATGACTTTCTTCAAAGAATTGGAGCAAACACTCCTGAAATTCATAGGGAACAATAAGCCCCCACGAATAGCTAAAGCAATTCTTGGGAAAAAGAAAATGGGAGGAATCAACCTCCCCAACCTCAACCTCTACTACAAAGCAGTAATAATTAAAACAGCATGGTACTGGAACAAAGGCAAAGCAGCAGACCAATGGAATAGGGTGGAATATACTGACACCCCCCACCCCAAAGATCATCTAATCTTTGATAAGGGAGCAAGAAATGTGAAGTGGAGCACGGAAAGCCTCTTTAATAAATTGTGCTAGCAAAACTGGGCACCTACATGCAAAAATATGGGCTCGGATCTCTACCTAACACCTTGTAAAAACGTAAGATCAAAATGGATTAAAGACCTCAACATCAGACCAGAAACCATAAGGTACATTGAAGACAAAGTTGGCAAAACCCTCCATGACATTGAAGCTAATGGTATCTTCAAAGATGTCACACCACTGGCCAAGCAAGTGAAAACAGAGATAAACAAATGGGACTATCTTAAACTAAGAAGCTTCTGCACCTCAAAAGAAACAGTGACCAAAATACAAAGACAGTCTATATATATCAATAATAGACAAAGTTCTCTGATATGACATCACTAATCCTTTTCTCAGTTTTCAGCAATTTATTGAGGTCTATCTTATTTTTAGATAGAACAAACTGCACCCCCCCCCCCCCCGGCGCTGTGTAATCCCATCAACAGCCAAGACCCAGAGACTATAAAACCCAGCTCCCAGATGTCTTATTATCTCATTCTTACTTTGGACAACCTGGCAGGCTACCGAATGAACCTGCCCACATGGCAGAGTCTGGCAAACTCCCTGTGGCATACCCATTATGCCAAATACCAGTAACAATGATGGGTCTCATTCTCCTAACCCTGAAATAGACTTAAATATGGCACTTTTTAAAATCTCAGGGCTAGGACGAAGGAGACATTACTGGTGCCTGCTCGAGGCAATCGACGAACAACAGGATGATCGTGATAGTGATCTTATTTTTATTGAATCACTGTGAGATACAGTTACAAAGCTTTCATGATTGAGTTTCAGTCATGCAATGACCGAACATCCATTCCTCCTCTAGTGCACATTTTCATCTTCAAGTCTTAGCATTGAACTGCGAGACTAGTTGGCCAAGAATCACAGAGAGAGGTACCCAGGCTTCTGAACACTGTCTGTGATCCGCCAAATAAAATTAAATATTAAATATAGAATCAGTGTATTTTATGAATATAAGATAGACCTCAATAGAAGAGACCACTAAGCCAGTAATGGCTGGAGGGATTGCTTGGGATGGGAGATGTGTGCTGAAAGTAGACTAAGAACCAAGCATGATGGCCTCTCAGTATCTGTACTGCAAATACTGCAAACTGTGATGTCCAAAAGTAGACAGTAAGAAGGAAGGTGCCTGCCACAGAGGCAGGGGGCAAGTTGGGATGGGGATGGCAGGAGGGAAACTAGGGACATTGGTGGTTGAAAATGTGCACTGTGTATCTGTGGGGGACTCTTTCTTATATTACACTGTTTTACCTACTGATTCTGTCGGTATGGTATTACTTTGTTTATTGAAGAGCTCTATTAAGCTTAAACATCTGACCAGACAACTCCTCTGATTAAAATCCTCTGATCAAGTGCTCCACTAAAAGATAATTTTATAAATAAATGAAAATAGGGAACTTATTGCATCCCTCGCTCTCCTTCCTTATTTTTTGAGCAAGTGTGTGTCTGCTTACTTGAGCAATCCAGCCCGATGGAAGACGTAGAGGTCCTGCTCGAGGGTGCAGTTGCTGAAGGGGACTATCTTCACGAAGTTCTGGATTAGAACAAACTCAGGGGTCATGTGCGGCAGAGAAATGACACAGAAGTTCTTGTTCTAACATAGTTGGAGACCAGGACATATGGGAAAAGAACCAGAAATTAATGATCGATAGACAAATTTTTCTTGCTCTGCAATACGAAGAAAATATGAGACGAAAGTGTGAAGGAGAGGCTTTCCAACTTAGAGCTACCTGGAGTGTGGAAAGCATCCAGTACAGTTTTCCAGTCCAGTCCAGCCGAGTCCAGTCCAGTTCAGTCGAGTCCAGTCCAGTCCTCCTATTGTTCATCGATTTGTTCAAGCGGGCACCAGTAATGCCTCACAAAAAATTGTGAGACTTTTTGTTACTCCTTTTGGCATATCGAATATGTCAGGCTTTGCCGTGAGAGTGAGATACTCTCAGTAGCTTGCCGGGCTCTCTGAGAGGGGTGGGTAGAGCAATCAAACCCAGGTCAACCACGTGCAAGGTAAATGCCCTACCCGTGTGCTATCGCTCCAGCCCAGTTTGGAAAACAATCATTTAAAATTCATGGAGATATGTAACTGAAAAAAATATATATGAAGTCAGTATCTGATTCTGCCCAAAATAAAAACAAGTGAATATTGTGAAGAACACACACACTTGGCATAAATTCTTTTGTGAAAGTAGATTTTTAAGCAAAGGACAACTATATTTTTAAATTCACTTGAACCCAGCAGTAATAAGGCATCACGGGGGGGCACAGCAATGACCCTGAACTTACCAAGCATAACCGTATCAGTCAGGGTCCTCCTCTCTGTGAGTCGAGAGCGTCCAACTCCAGCTCTATGTATTTTGTCAACACACAACCACACTGAAGTGAACAGCCCAAGGTGTGCTTAGCCTGGACAGTGGGTTGGAGCACACAGCAGACTCCCCATCCCAGACCTTCTAAGCGGGCATTCCTGCCATGGGGCAGGAACCACACTGGGCCACTGGAATATGACCACGGTGACTGAAGAATCAAATTTTAATTAACGAAAATGTATTTGATTTTAATTTTTATTTAAAAAAACTGATACCACAATTCAGTTACTGGTATTTCCACGTATGTTCAGAACCACTTAGGTTTATGAATTTACTTATTTAACTGTTCCTTTTGTGATACTTGTACTGAGTTATGCTGCAAGTGTAAAGAACACAATGGATTTCTAAACCTGTGAAAAAGAAAACCTCAATTTTTCATATTAACAAGGACATATTGACAAGTTGAAATGTCTGCATTTTTGACATATTTAATTTAATAAAATTTTAGTAAAAGTGATCTCAACTGTTCCTTTTTTGCATCTTTTTATTTTATTTTTTAAATATGACTGCAGGAACATTCATAGTTACTTATGCAGCACCATTCTATGTCAATGGAACAGTGTCGCCCTGGCTCCACTTAGCTCTGCACAGCCCACCTGACACTCTGCCAAGCGCCTGCAGACACCGCCTGCTCTTGCCAGAGCTGATTTGCCCCTGTGGGATCTCGCCTCCCCCTGAACCCTGTGAAGGCATTACTTGTGCTAATCCAAAACCCTGGGGACATTTGTGAAACCCAAAGGAGTGAATCAGTGTTTGACCCTGTCTTCTTTCTTTCTAGCAAAATAACACAACTGCTTTTGGGGAACTTTCGGGTCAAGTTGTGGAAATACTAGAGATGAAAATAGGATTGAATGCCAAGTCTCAGCCACCTCCCACTAGAGGAGACTATAATGAGTACTTCGACTTGGACTAGAAGGATTAAGGATGAAGTAATAAGGTATTCTGTTCCTGACTCCCTGCATCCTGGAATAAATAGAATTACAAAGCAAATATATTTTGTATCTTTTTAAAGTCAAATTGCCTCTGCAATGCTGAAGTCTTTATATGACTTCACCACAGAGGAACAAATTAAGTTTAGTGAAATTACTTTGAGACCTCTTTGAAGGAAATCAAGTTTGTAAATCCTACCTTCAGGATTATCCATGTTTCTTTATAGGTTTCAAGTTACATTGGTCATTTAAAAATATATGATCACATGGCTTTCAGGTGATATATTTACACTATATTTTTGTCTCAGTATAAATAATATCCCACACGGCAGACTCTGTCCAGCTCCCCATGGTGTATTCGATATGTCAAAACCCATACAGGGGATGGGTCTCATTCCCCTGACTCTGAATGAGCCTCCAATGTGTCACTTGCTGAAATCTCAGGGCTAGGACGAATGGAGACGTTACTGGTGCCTGCTCGAGGAAATCGATGAACAAGGGATGACAGTGATACAGTGATAAATAATATAAAATAAAATATTTTGCTTCTAATTAGTCAGCTGAAGCATAGCTGTTGACTATACTTAAATGATAAACTATGAAAAGGTCTATAAATACCCATTCACTAGTCATCTTAATTGTCTTCATATTTTTCCTTCCCACCAACAAAGTGATAAGAGGTTGTTAGCATCTCCACCCCTTGGAATATTAAAAGTAAAATGGAGGAATAGGAAATGGAGCTAAATGGAATAGCTTATTTGTACTTGGAAGTTTGCCCTGGTATCCATTCACCAAAAGTGCTACAGTGGGCTGAGCCTCTCCTCAGGTCAGGTAATGACAATCAGAAAATCAACTGCAAATTTCAACTTCCCTACCCACAGAGAAAGAATATGATGATTTCATAATTTCTTTTAATCAATGCATTGTGATTTACAAAGTTAATCATAGTTGAGTTTTAGCCATACAATGTTCAAACACCAATCCTACCATCCGTGACAATTTCCCTCCACCAATATCCCCAGGTTTCTTCCTACCCTCATCTGCCTCCCTTGACAGGGACAGTCCTAAGTTATAATTTGGATCTCATGCTTAGAGTGCTGTTCCCTCTGTGGCTTGGTAGTATACATAAACTTCATCTTTTTACCACCAATGTGCCTGAGGCTCCTGGCCCATTACCTCTTCTTACTCCCTCCCTTTCAACGTTTCTCCTTCCCTGTCATCTCTTCTATAATCTAGGCCAAAGGAAGTCTAGGTAGCCCCCTTTGATATCTTGAATTGCCTTGTTCTATTATTATTCATACCACAGATCAGTGAGATCATTTGGTATTTTTCTTCTTCTAGCTAACTTCACTCAACATGATATCCCCCAGTTCCATGCAAATTGCATAATGAGAATTGCATAATGTATTATTCCTTGCAGCTACATAATATTTTGTTGTGTATGTACACCACATCTTCATTATCTACCCATCTATCAACCTGGGTCAATTCAGTATCTTAGCTATTATAGTAACTGATGCAGTGAATAATAGTGTGCATTATTATTTGAATGAGTATGTTTGTGTGAGAAGGGTACCAAGAATTTCTGGGTCATATGACAACTGTACTTTTCTGAGAAACATCCATACTCTTTTCCATGGGAGTTGTACAGGACAACAATCCCACCAGCTGTGGGTTACAATTCCTTTTCCATCATATTCCTGCTACAACAGATTGTTCTCAGTTGTTTTGATATGTATCATTCACACTGGTGTGAAATTGTAACTTATTGTCATAATGACTTAGATTTCCCTGACAATAAGTGACAACACTTTTCCATATACCCACCAGATATACATCTGTCTCCTTCAAAGAAGAATCTATTCTTTTCATCTCCCCATTTACTGATAGTTTTTGGATTTTTACATTGATCTTTGGGAGTGCTTAAATTCTATGATCTTGTTCTTTTCTGATTCTCTGTCATACAGGGATGAAAAACATAATTTTGTTTGTTGATTTTATAGCCTGCTACTTTGCTGTACTAATGACTGTTTTAAGGAGCTCTTTAGTGGACTTTTGAAGGTCTTCTATGTTCTATTAAGTCATGTCACCTCTAAATAATGATAATTTGACTTCTGCTTCTCACGTCTGAATTTCTTTTTCTTGCCTGGATGCTGCTGGTAGGACTCTAAATTGAATAAATACTAAATTGAATAAAAGTGGAGATAGTGCACATCCTTGCCATATGCATGATCCCATTGAGAATGCTTTCATTTTTCACCATTGAGAATGATACTTGCCATGGGTGTGCTATAGGTGATTATTATTACCTCGAGGAAGGTTCTTTCCACCATTATTTTGTTGAAGGTCTTTTTCGTGGATGTTGGATCTTGTCAAAAGTTTTCTCTGCACAGACTGACATACTCATGTGATTTTTATCCTAACTTTTATTGATATTACATTAATTACATTTAATTGATATTACATTAGTTTACTGGCATATTTGAACCACCATTGCATTCTAAGGATGGATCACATTTGATTGAGATGTATGTATTTTTGGATATACTCTAATTTTGCTTGCTAAGATTTTGTTAAAAAATTTTGCATCAATGTTCACTGGAGAAATTGTTCTGAAATTTTCTTCTCTAGTAGTATCTCTGCTTTTTAAAAAAATTATTAGTGAAACACCATGAGGTACAGTTGTAGACTTACAAATTTTTGTGCTTGAGTTTCATTATACAATGATAGAGTACCCATCCCTCCACCAGTGCCCATTCTCCATCACCAATGATCCTAGTATCCCTCCTATCCCCCCATCCTCCCCCCCCCCATTCCACCCTGCCTCTATAGCAGGGCATTCGCTTTTGTTCTCTCTATCCTTTTGGGTGTTGTGGTTTGCAAAAGAGGCTCTGAGTGGCAATCATGTTCAGTCTATAGTCTACTTTCAGCATGCATCTCCCATTCTCGGAGGATCCTCCCAGCACCTTTTATTTGGTGCTCCCTTATCTATCTGAGCTGCCTTTTCCCCTAGCACGTGCAGCTGGCCTCCAAGACATGGAGTAAACCACCTGGTACTTATCTGGCTATTCTTGGGTGTTAGTCTCCTATTTTGTTACTTTATGTTCCCCAGATGAATGCAACCTTTTTATGTCTGTCCTTCTCATTCTGACTCATTTCACTTAGCATGATACTTTCCATGTAGTAACACCTGTATGTAAATTTCAAGACTTCATCTTTTCTAATAGCTACATAGTACTCCATTGTGTAGATGAACCAAAGCTTCTTTAACCAGTCATCTGTTCTCAGGCACTCAGGTTTTT